GAAAAAATGGGGGTTTGGGGAAAAAAAATGGGGGTTTGGGGTGAGAAAATGGGGGTTTGGGGTGAAAAATGGGGTTTTGAGAGTTAAAAATGGTTTGGGGTTAAAAATGGGATTTTTTGGGGTGAAAAAATGGGGGTTTGGGGTGATAAAATGGGGTTTGGGGAAAAAAATGGGGGTTTGGGGATTGGAAATGGGGGTTTGGGGAATAAAAATGGGGTTTAGGGAATTAAAAATGGGGTTTGGAGAAATAAAAATGTATTAATATTTCATATACATATAATATATATTAATATATTAATACTATACTTATTTTTAATTATATTTAATATTAAATTCTTATTATAGATCAATATATTAATTTGTTAATATATTAGTGTGTTAATATATAGCATATTATATATAATAATATGTTTTTAATAAAATATCGATAATTCTAATAATAATATATTAATATTAATTATATTTTTAAAAAATACTTTAACTATTATATACATTACATATACACTAATATATTAATATGTTTTATATCTTAATTTGATAGATATAATATTAATATATTATTAATGTATTATATTTTTATAATAATATTATAAATAATATTTTTATTACATAATACTTTTAATATATATTAAAAATGTTTCTAATATGTATTATATATTAATATATTAATATATTAATATATTATATATTAATATATTATTATATTATATATTATCTATTAATATATTAATGTATTATATATCTTAATATATTAATATATTTTATAGTTTGATTTATTAATGTATTAAGTATATTACCATTTAATGCATTATATATCTTGAAATATTAATATATATCTAAATATTACTATTAATAAATTATTAATATATTATAATAGACACAATTACTATATTAATTCATTAATACACATATATTTAAAATATTTTAACCCTACGAGTTACACACATTAATATATTAATTTAAATGTTAACATCTTATCCACATTAATTAATTATAACCCAATTAAAACACATACAACCCATATATCAATAAATCAGATTTTTTTTTTTTTAATTTTAATTTTTATTAAAAAATATTTTTTTCCTCTCCTCTTTACCGAGGTGAAAACCTCCGTGGTTTGTTGGATGGTGGCGATTTTGGTCCAACCCCATTTCTTGAAGAGCTGAACCCGCGTCGGGTTGTGAAGCGTCGCCGACGGATGAGTCCGGAAAAACGTCGGGAAACGCTGCCGGTTCGACAGAGCCGGGGAGCTCGAGCCATAGGAAAGCTGGGAATGTCAAAAAAATTGGGAAATTTGGGGATTTTGGGGGATTTTTTGGGATTTTTTTGGGATTTTTTGGGATTTTTTGGGGATTTTTTGGAGATTTTTTGGGATTTTTTGGGATTTTTTGGCGATTTTTTGGCGATTTTTACTGGATTTTTTAGCGATTTTGGGGGGATTTTCTAGGGATTTTTGGGGATTCTTTAGCGATTTTGGGGGATTTTTTGGGGGATTTTTTGGGATTTTTTAGGATTTTTTGGGGGATTTTTTGGGATTTTTTGGCGATTTTTTAGGGATTTTTTGCGGATTTTTTGGCGATTTTTGGGGATTTTTTTGGGATTTTTTTCAGGATTTTTTCGGGAAAATTTGGGTGATTTTTCGCGATTTTTTGGGAGTTTTTGGAGAATTTTTTTTGGATTTTTAGGGGTACAGGATTTGGAGATTTGGGATTTTCGGGAAACGCTGCCGGTTCGACAGAGCCGGGGAGCTCGAGCCATAGGAAAGCTGGGAATACAAAACATTTGGGATTTGGGGATTTTGGGGGATTTTTTTTGGGATTTTTTGGGGATTTTTTGGGATTTTTTGGGGATTTTTTGGAGATTTTTTGGCGATTTTTTGGGATTTTTAATGGATTTTTTAGCGATTTTTTGGGGATTTTTGGGGGATTTTTTTTGGATTTTTTAGCGATTTTTGGGGGATTTTTTGGGGGATTTTTGCGGATTTTTTAGGATTTTTTGGGGGATTTTTTTGGATTTTTTGGCGATTTTTTAGGGATTTTTTGCGGATTTTTTGGCGATTTTGGGGGATTTTTTAGGGTTTTTTTCAGGATTTTTTCGGGAAAATTTGGGTGATTTTTCGCGATTTTTTGGGAATTTTGGGGGATTTTTTTGGCGATTTTTTGGGAATTTTTGGCGATTTATGGGGGATTTTGGGGGGATTTTTGGGGATTTTTTGGCGATTTTTTGGGGTACGGGATTTGGGGATTTGGGATTTGGGGATTTGGGATTTTCGGGAAACGCTGCCGGTTCGACAGAGCCGGGGAGCTCGAGCCATAGGAAAGCTGGGAATGTCAAAAAATTGGGG